CCCCGCCAAAAAAAAAAAAAAGAAGCTGAACATAAATGGAATAATTTCATTTCTTTAAAGTAAAGTAAAAGTATTCCTATTAAAGTAATTTTAGAATAAAGTATTAATAATGGATAAAGTTAGTAATCTGGGTAATGGAATGGTAGAAGAAACTGTGATGGGTCCATAATTATGATACTGGTTATATAGGTATATTTACTTTTGAAAGTCTATCAAAATGTACATTTAGGATTTATGTATTTGATATATTTTACTTCACTGTTTTTACTACCCCAAAGTCTGTAGATTAAACTAAATGGTGCTATTAGATTACACTCTGATAAAAAATGTAAAAACTCCTATTTCCTCATAATCTTTCTTATAATTGGCACTACATTTATTTTTAAATTTACTAAGATGAGGGCTTAAATTTTTAGTTTATTTTATTTTTATTTATTTTTTTTAAAGAGAGAGGGAGGGAGAGAGAGAGAGAGAGAGAGAGAGAATTTTAATATTTATTTATTTTTTTTAGTTTTCGGCGGACACAACATCTTTGTTTGTATGTGGTGCTGAGGATCGAACCCGGGCCGCACGCATGCCAGGCGAGCGCGCTACCGCTTGAGCCACATCCCCAGCCCAGGCTTAAAATTTTAAAAAGAGTAAGTTGGGCATGGTAAACCCAGCAGCTGGGGAAACAGCTGGGGAAGCTGAGACAGGAAGATCACAAGTCCGAGACCAGCCTTAGGTCCTAAGCAAACTAATGAGACCCTGTCTCAAAAAATAAAAAGGCTTGGGCTGGGATTGTGGCTCAGTTGCACAGCACTTACCTAGCATGTGTGAGGTACTGGGTCCGATTCTCAGCACCACATATAAATATATAAATGTAAATATATATATATATATATATATATATATATATATATATATATATATAAAGACCCATTGACAACTAAAAAAAAATATTTAAAAAAATAAAAAGGCTAGGAATGTAGCATAATGGTAAAGTGCTCCTGGAGTGAATCCCAGCCCCAAAGTAAATATACAAAATAAAAAGTGTGGGGTTTTGGAGAGGTCCTCTTATTTTATTGATATAAACACAGTTAACAGTATTTCTTTTTCTGTGAAGTGCCTGTTAAATCTGTGAGAAAAAATAACCTGAAACTTGAAAACAGACATAAGAAGTACAATGATTGATAATGTACTTCTAGGTAGAGGGGCAATTGGTAAATCTCTGTCCAATAAAGACAGAAATGATTGCTGGTACCAGTTAAACAAGTGACTCCAGAAATTATGGTCTGTGATTTTGAAGAATATTAACCAGTCCAATGCCTAACTCAGCAATCTTCACTTTCTTTGTTAAATTGTTTCTATCCCTTCTTAAATGTTCTTTAAACATTTTACTAGTTTCCTCATTTAAGTAAGTAGTCTTTTTTTGGGTGGGGGTGGGTCGGTACTGGGATTGAACCCAGAGGTGCTTTACCCAACACTCTGAGCTCCATCCTCAGCCCTTTTTATTTTTTATTTTAAGACAGGTTCTCATTAAGTTGTATAGGGCCTCACTAAGATGCTGAGGCTGGTCTTGAACTTGTGATCTTCCTGCCTCAGCCTCAAGAGCTGCTAGGATTACAAGAGTGTGCCACTGCACCTGGCTGAAGTATTTTTTTTTTTTTCTGGTGCTGGGGATTGATTGAACACAAGGCCTCATGCATGCTAGGCAAGTGCTCTACCACTAAGCTATATCCCAGCCTACATTTCATTAGAGGGCAGGTTAATTTACAAGCTGGCAAATAGAGTCAGACGCAATTGTTGAATGGTCTCTGCAACTGCCAAATTTATTTTGGTAATTGCCATATCCTTCTGGAAATAAAGACTTTGACCTTGACCCTACTCTTGCTCATGATTAAAATGTCTTACATTGAACCACAATGCAAAAATAAAACAAAAAAATCCTTTGGATACTTACACTGTACAGTCACTCGCACCACACAGCTTTCCTTCCCAGCCTCATTGCCTGCTGTGCACTGGTAGAGCCCAGAAGAAGACATGGTGAGATTCTGCAACAGAACTCTGCCAGGGTTGTTGTAGTCTATACAAGGAGAAAGAATGACATTAAGCCGCCTTAGTGACAGAATCTTTATTTATTTTTGACTATATAGGATATTGTTGACCTAAGATTCTGTATTGTAATTTGATAAGAATGAATAGAAAAGATTCATTTTTTAGCATGGGAAAACAGGTAAATATTCTTTTAAATTGTAGTACATCTTCAAAAGTTAGAAAAGATTGTGGATCTTGCCAGGTACAGTGGTGCATCCCTGTAATCCCACTGGCTTGGGAGGCTGAGGCGGGAGGATCTTGAGTTCAAAGCCAGCCTCAGCAATGCTGAGGTGCCTAGCAACTCAGTAAGCCCCTGCCTCTAAATAAAATACAAAATAGGGCTGGGGATGTGGCTCAGTGGTCAAGTGCCCCTGAGTTCAATTCCTGGTACAAAAAAAAAAAAAAATAGATTGTGGATCTTTATGGAATACTAAACAAGACAATTAGATATGATAGATTTCTGTAATATTTTTTCCTAATCTCTTTTACCACTTTTATATGGCATTTGAAGAAAGATTTTCTGTCCTAGTTTATGGATTAAAAAAAATTCCATTTTCAAGAGGTTCCACAATGTCCTCAAGGTCATATAGTGAGTTGCTGACAAAGCAGATTTAGAATTCATGGACACAGTTCTATCTTATTGGCACAGTAGACTGGGAGAAAGATGACTTACCAATCCTGGATTTGGGAGGCAAATGTTCATCCTCTCCCTCTTTCTCCGGGATTCGCTGCCAGTAATACACAATGGGCTTTGTGCCAGAGGATGACTCACATTGCAGAGTCAGATCACTTCCTTCTGTCAGGTCTCCTTCCAACTCACACTTGGGCTTGGATGGTCTCACTGCCCAAAAAAGAGAATAAAGGTGTAATGATTCAAAGATTCTCTAAACACCACATCAAAGGAAAAACTATGTTCAATTGAGTTGTTTCTCCAGCCATACCTTATGGTTGACCTTTGAGTTGGGATTCAACTAGGCATGGGTTATATTACCCTGTGATTTCAACCCACTTTATTCACCCTCTGCCACACACACAGTTTAAGCTGCTACTAGTGGTGCTGTTGTAATTTTTAGGGGCTACCTCAGAAACAACTACATACTTTTCAAAGAAGAGGAATTGTTTTTTTAGGAAATTTTAGGAATGTTAAGTGTGATTTTATTGAAACTGAAATAAGGATAGAAAATCATTAAATTGGAGCTAATTAAGTAGAACTTAGTAGGTTTTGCTATCAAAAAATAAGGTGGGTGCCATGGTAATCCCAGTAACTTGGGAGGCTGAGTCAGGAAGATTGCAAGTTCAAAACCATCCTCAGAAACTTGGTGAGACCCTGTCCCAAAATTAAAAAGGGCTGGGGATGTAGCTCAGTGGTAAGATGCCCCTGGGTTCAATGCCCAGTACCAAAATAATAATAATAGCAACAACAATAAATTTGAATCATCTCTGAGAGATTTAAGATAACTATAAGGGAGCTGGAGATGTTGCTCAGTGGTCGAGTGCCTGCAAGGCCCTGGGTTACATCCCCAGCACTACCCCCGCACCCCCGCAAAAAAATACAAACACTAGAGGCTATTTAAATTTTGTAATGGGCTATCATGGAAAATATGGCTGAAATACAGAACATAAATGCTTCTTTGCAGGGAGCTGGACTAGGTGACCTCTAAGCGTATAATACAAAGTGCTGAACACAAAGTTTTGTACCACCATGACTTATTTGCCTATCTCTCACAGAGATCTTATTAAGATATGACATTTACCTTGGCACTCTGCCTTACCTAAGACTTTTAAGATGACGTGGCTCCACACATAACGCCCTGAATTCTTCACCTTGCAGGTATACCTGCCCTCATCACTGGGTTTTAGAGGCTCGATCTGCAGGGAGGCATCTCCTGCCAGGAAATTGGAAGCAAATGCCACTCGGCCCTTCTGTTCCTCAGTTAAGTTATTGTAGACATGACGACTGGAGTAAGTGATCACCTGTGGGAAAGATGGAGGCAGAGTCAAGCAATGTGGCTCTCAGTGTTCCTCCCCTGCTGATGTCAAGATGAAGAAAGGGAATACTCCCAGTGGCACTAAGTGGCCAAGCTTGGGGCTGATTCTAATAGTCCAAGATGCCTTGGTTCTCAATAGCAGTACAATTTTGTTTAGGCCTCGCTTCTCCTTCCATGAATAATATATCTGTGTAGCATTTAATTACTGAAGTTCACATATCTAAGTTACAGAAAGAAGTGCACAGTTCTGTGTACTCTCAGCATAGAATTTTTCTGGAATAGTATACAATAAATGGTATCAGTAGTTGACTCTGAGGAGAATTGAGGGGACAGAGAGTAAGAATGGAGAGATTTACCCTTGCCCTGTAAACTTTTTTCTGTCTGTTGCATTTTCTACCACTTGCATGTGATATCTTCAAAATACACTACACTCTTTGTCTTAAGAGCATTTAGGTGCGATCTAGTTTAGTTCTTACCACAGTTTTTCCAAGTAGTTATTTTTTTCCCAAGTAGTTATTATTCCCATTTTTTTTTAGTATTTATTTTTTAGTTTTAAGAGGACATGACATCTTTATTTTATGTTTAGGTGGTGCTAAGGATCAAACTCAGTGCCTCAAGCATGCTGGGCGAGCACTCTACCACTGAGCCACAACCCCAGCCCTGAACACGGGTCTTTGAAATTCATCTTGTTCTTACATATTGCAGTTACCTCTCTCCCTCTTTCTTTTTTCCCTCTTGCATTCATTTCACTGCTCATTAACTATTCTTTCGTAAAGTTTACAAATGAAGGAGAAAGAGTAAAACTGAAAAATCAATCTATTTTATTCTTATAATTTGAGAATTTGGTGAGGAGACTGGAGGTAAATGGTCATAATTCAAGTCTGACACTATGGCTTTCATTGTTTGATTTTCTTTCCTTTTTTTAACTTTATTGCAGTTTTGTAAGAATAGGTAGGAAAAATATGTTTCTTCTTTCATAAAATTCAAATGAGCATCATGCTTTTGCTTTCCCAGTTAGGAGGAGCAAGTTTTGATTTTCTCCAACTAGGAAACAAACTAAAACAAACAAACAAAAAAACCTTGAGACTTGTTGTCTGCCTCTACTTTTGTAAACTTTCCCTGAATTTTCTTAGTTTATCACTCCTGTTAGTTACAGAAACCATGCTAATCTAATCCATCAAAACTTCAGCCACATAATTTCATCTTTGTCCTCTCTGCCATTCAGCAATCCTATCCGTAAACCTGTTTGACTTAACCGGCAGCAAACATGGAGATCTTCCTTTGGGTCAGGAGGAAGTCAGATGAGTAAAACCCTCTTCCAAGTAACTTATAATCAAGTGGGCTTAACAAGAAGAGAAATATAAACATAGAAAAAAGAAAAAAACAAGAAATGATTTACTTGAAATAATATCAGGGAGACTGGCCCAGAAAAATTGGTATTTGAATCAGGCTTTGACAGATGAGCAGACTAAATAAAAGACAAGAGGCAGGAAGAAAAGGGCTGAGGGAGCATTCCAGATACATAGAACAGCACTAAAAAAAAGACATGCAAGCATATGGGAGTCTCCCAAGCACATTTCTGGCTGCAGCTGTCTATATTGTTTCACTCTAAGCCTTTAACCCCTCCTCAATCATGTGATGCTCTGAAGCTCATCCGATACTTTTCTGAAAAGATTTAAAGCTATCCAATGAAGAGTCCATCCATTCTCTCTCCATTATATAAAAACTTTTTCAGTACTATCATGCATTTTGCTCTTACCACCTCTCTGAGAAAAATGTTTTCTCTCTTCTCTGCATATCCTTTTTCCTCAACAGATATTTACTGAGCTTGTGTCAGGCACTATGCCCAGCACTGAGAAAACAAATAGGAATGAGACATACATAGTTCCTCCCCTGAAGAGCTCACAGTCCTAGGGGGAGAGGAGGAGTGGAGGAGAGAACTGAACACTGTAACTAATAATATACTTAAAACATTTTCTCAATATGCCCTCACATTTCAATATTACACTATTGTGACGATTCTCATATCTGTGTCTCTCCTTCTTTGTCTTTGTCTTCATCTTCATCTTCGTCCCCCACCCCCTTCTACTTCATGGAGTCTTGCTGTGTTGCATAGGCTGGCCTCCAAACCTTGGCTCAAGCAAGACTCCTGCCTCAGTCTCTGGAGTAGCTGAAATTACAGACCCATACTACCACATCGGGCATAAACTCTATTTTCATATTTCCAGCTCCCTGGCTGCTGTATATTTCTTTTCACTCCACTCTGCCCTACATACTGCTGTCCAGTTAATCTTGTTACTATGAGCCACACCCCCAGCCCTATTTTGTATTTTATTTAGGGACAGGGTCTCACTGAGTTGCTTAGCATCTTGCTAAATTGATGAGGCTGGTTTTGAACTCACCATGCTCCTGCCTCTGCCAATGCACCAGCTCTTTTCCAGCTCAAAACCCGAACAGCTCCCCACTATCTTTGAATGATGACCAGACTCAGCCTAGGGTTGGTCCTCAAAATGACCTCTATATTTTGGTCCCAATCTCCTTTATTCTACTTCATATACCAGGGTGTATCAGAATACTGTTATGGTTTGGATGTGAGGTGTCCCCTAAAAGCTCACATGTGAGACAATCAAGAAGGTTCAGAGGAGAAATTATTGGGTTATAAGAGTCTTAACCCAATCAGTAAATAAATCCCCTGACAGGGATTAACTGACTGGTAACTGAAGTGGTAGGGTATGGCTGGAGGAGGTAAGACTTTGGGGGTATGGCTTTGGGGTGTATTTTTTGTATCTGGAGAGTAAAAACTCCCTGTTTTCTGATCACCATGGGATGAGCTGCTTCTCTCCACCACCCTCTCCCATCGTGATGTTCAGTCTCACCTCAAGCCCTGAGGAATGGAACTAGATTTCTTTCTTCTTTTTTTAAGAGAGAGAGAGAAAGAGAGAGAGAGAGAATTTTTTAATATTTATTTATTTTTTTAGTTTTCGGCGGACACAACATCTTTATTTGTATGTGGTGCTGAGGATCGAACCCCGGGCGGCGTGGATGCCAGGCCAGCGCGCTACCGCTTGAGCCACATCCCCAGCCCTGGAACTGGATTTCTGTGGACTACTCTGAAACTGTGCACCCTCAAATAAACTTCCTCTTCTATTATTGTGCTGGTCAGGTCCTTTAGTCACAGCAGTGAAAACGCTGACTAACACAACTACCTCATTCCCATTTCATGAAAATGAGTTGTGCTTCTGTATGCTCACTTCATTTTTCCACTTAGATCTAAGTCCTTTTTCTCCATCTCTCCACAAACCCTATTCAACTAAGTGTGGCAGCTCATGACTAATTCCAGCAACTCAGGAGGCTGAGGCAGGAGGATCACAAATTCCTAGGCAATTTAGTGAAACCCTTTCTCAAAAAATAAAAAGGGCTGGAGGTGTAACTCAGTGGTTAAAAAAAACAAAACAAAAAAACACCTGGATTTAAAACCCATTACTGAAAAAAAAAAAAAAAAAACCCAATTTGTTCTATTTTGTTTGTTTTTCTTTCTCTATTGTTTAAATTTTTATTAGAGCATTATAGTTATACATAGAGGTGGTGTTCTTTTTAACAAAGACATGCATACATGGAATGTTATTTACTCCATTCCCCTCCACATTCCCTACTTTTCCTCCACTCCTCCTTCCTATTCATTCTTTTAAGTCCCAAATGAATGGTTACTTCTCATTACACCATTTTTTTTTTTTTTACACCTTTCTTAATATGACACTCAAGACTGAGAAGGGTTTTTTTTTTTTTTCCTTTGCTCTCACCCATAACATTTTTTTTCTTTTCTTTTCTTCTTTTTTTTCCCTGCAGTGCTGGTGATGAAACCCAGGGCCTCATTCATGCTGGGTACTCTTTGCCACTGAGCTATACCCCTCATCCATAATATTTCTTTTTACCATTTTTTTTTTTTTTTTGAACTGGGGGTGAATCCAGGCATTGTGCATTACGGTTTCTGCACCATTTTATTTGAAAAGGAATCGTGGAAGACTTTGAAATGGGCAGACAGGTTGCTGGATGTGCTTTCAGTAATGCTTCTGGGTTATTTTATATGCATCTGTTGTTTTTGTCTTTGGTTAGAATGTTTTACAACTCTTCATTCAATAAGCATTGATTTAAAACATACTCTATCCTTTACACTGTGCTAGAGATGATAAAAATACAAAGAAATGAGTACTGTAAGTGTTAAAGTATAACTTTTTAAAAATCAAGTAAAACCATGATTTTCATATATACAGACAAAAACACATGTCAAAGATTTTAATAACCAATGAGACATTAAACCGGTTCCAATGAGAAATGGGTCTAAAAGGGATTTATATCTTCTTTGGCCAAAAATCATTTGCATCTTTTTTTTTTGTTTTTGTTATTAGGGATTGAACCCAGGGGCGCTTAACCACTGAGCCACATTCCTAGTCCTTTTTTCTATTTTATTTAAAGATAGGATCTTGCTAAATTGCTTAGGGCCTCACTAAGTTGCTGAGGCTGGCTTTGAACTCCAAATCATCCTGCCACAGCCTCCAGAGCCACTGAGATTACAGGAGTGTGCCACTGCACCCAGCTTATTTATATATATATATTCTTTTTTTTTTTAACATCTTTTTTTATTTTATTTTTATGTGGTGCTGAGGATCGAACCCAGTGCCCCGCGCATGCCAGGCAAGCGTGTTACTGCTTGAGCCACATCCCCAGCCCATCAGCTTATATTTTATTTTTGAAATAGGGTCTCCCTATGTTGCTGAGGGTCCTCAAACTTGTGATCCTCCTTCCTCAGTCTCCAGAGTTGCTGGAATTATAAGTTTGCATCACCATGCCCTGCTAAATCTTTTAGATTCTAAAAGGTGAATGCCCTTCCCCAAGATGGATTTCAGAACTTGGATTTGAACCCAAGATTTCTAGAGATGAGTCCCTTTCCTTCTTCTTGTCCTCTTCCCCCAAACATGCAGCTCTCCC